GGAGGAAGAAGTCGAAAAAATTACAAAAGAGGAAGGAAAAAAGCTTGATTAAATAATATATTAAAGGTAAATAGCAATAAGAATAGTTAGAAAACATATATATAAGATGCTGACAGGTAAAGTTCTCAAATTAATTCGCTACAGTTTAGTAATCAACTAGTAGTATCCATGATGAGCCAAGTCATTGAAGCCAATCACTGAAGTTTATTGCAGTTATTGTATAATTTACAGACTCTAGTATTTGCTCATTACATGTTAGTTCTACAGCTAGCAAGTAGCGAATATTACGCTGTTGTGACACCGCACAGTAAGGCAGTGCATGAAGGTCTTTGCCAACTTTGCTAGTATAATTCTGTTTTAGACTGGCACTGAGCCAGACTGACCAATTTGCATCAGCTGGCTTATTGGGGTGAAATTCTTTAGTTTCAGGACATTCAGAGCTATAACGTTCTGGATCTCCCAACTTGCCACAGTTACATAGATCTGTTCTACATAGTTTGAAAACGATGAAGATAGGTTTTAAAAGGACCATGTCCAGTGGGGAACCACGTTATCCAATTCGTTTTGCCCAGTAAATTCGTCGACACTTTTGGAACCATTTTGAAGGTTCTTCTTCCAGTTAAAGCTGTTTCCCATCTCGTCTGCCATTGCTGCAACAAAGATTGCCATGTAGAAGCTTTGAGGTGTGAAATCAATAGCGAGACTTGTGTCTCTTCGGCATATGTGAACATAGCTGCTTCTATCACCAAATGGTCAGCTATTTCATTTCCCTGAATTCCCACGTGTCCACGAACCCAGAAAAGTTGAGGACGATCTGAGGAATGAAAATTTAACAACTGTTGCTGTACCTCATGAACCAAACTGTTTCTGGTGTTGAAGTTTCAGTGCGCCGCTAAGTCAGAAGCAGAATTTGAAAAGATTGAGACTGAATGTTTATTGGCATATAAGGCTGCGGCGAGTCTTGTCGCTTTCCTCAGTGCAACTAATTCGGCTTGGTAAACTGAATTACCTACTTCTAATCTTCTTCGCCATCAGTATATCAGATGATTATCTTCCATTAGGCAAAGCTCATCTCCCGTGCCATTTTCCATTTTAGAGCCACCCGTGAATATCTTAAACTGGGAGTTCCAGTTGATTTGCTTTAGATGAACTATATCCGGGATATCAAAAACTGTTGGATGCCATAGGTCTTTACACAATGGTGCGTCATACTCTTTTGATGCATATAAACGGCCCCACGGAAGTTTCAATTTCTGAAGCGTCAAGACGTTAGAGATGATAGCTTTCCTTTCAACTAAAGGCTAAAGTTGGGGAAGTACGATAAGTTCTTGTAAAGTGTAGCATTTGCTGAGGTTGAATTGTATTGAGCAGTCTTCTTTCTTTTGGGGTACATTTTGTCCCTCAGATTGAGGCTGTCTACAGGACGATTCTCACTGAGACTGTTTTTATCCAGGTTTTAAGATATTCTGCAGGGACTTCCCAACTTGGTTATGCAACCTTTATTATTGAGTTTTGCAGTTGAGCTATCCTTAGTTTAATCTGCATGAGATGCGCAGGCCATAAAAGTCTATTGTTTATGATAATTCCCAAGTATTTAAGATTGGTTACAAACTTGATAGATTGGCCCGAAATTTTAATACGTGGGTTTCTGTTTAGTGCTTAACGTCTGCCAATTAGGAGTGCTTTAATTCTGGCTGCAGAAATTTGAATTTTATACCGCTTCGTCCAGGTTTTGGAAGTTGAAAGGACACTATGCCTTAGTCTCAACTGATGAGCGTCCTGCGATAGTAATTACAAAGTCATAAGAGTAAGATATCCCGTGCACATCTTCAGACCTTCAGATTCCCGAAATGCTCTTTTAGCTATTATATTCCACAGTAAATTCCACGCTATTATATTCCACAGCTCTTTTGGCTACTATATTCCCAGGCAGGAGCCCTGTGGGCAGCTTCAGACCTTTTTATTAGATATTGAACAACACTGAATTAACACTAAATCTGTTTATATGTCGATAATTTTTTTTCCTTTCCTTCACTGGCAAGCCTTCTGATTTGGCGTAATACGTGAAAAGATTGTTTTTTAATCCAGTCATACTTAGTTTTTCTTCTGGGAAATATTTTATTATAAATTTCTTCAACTGAAAATGGTAGTCTTATTGTATTGTAGATATTGTAGAAACAATGCGTTATTTAGAAGCCTGTGAGATAAAAAAATGAGCAACGCCTTCGCCGGGAATCGAACCAAGGACCTCTGGAAATACGCACCCAGCGTGCTTACCACTACACTACGAAGGCGTGCTAAGAAGGAGGGAAAAATACCTTATAGTATGATGCTTAACATTGTCGTCTAAATTGAATTCATTTTACATTAGAAAAATTGTTTAGTTTCGCAGAGCATTGCCCAACATTCTCTTTGAAGAGCACATGTTAAATTTTTAAATTTATAATTATATGTGTCTTTATATTTTTAGTTAATAAACACTAGTCAACTAGTATGCATACATTATAATTTTCTTTTAGATTTTTTTTTTTTTTTTAAATATTATTCTGAATAGGGTAAGCCAAAAACTGACAAAATTGTTCGTTCTCTCGATCTTTATTATTAGTTAATGATAGTATAGTATATATACTATCTAATTTAATTTAATACTTTCTTAATGTGCTCATTTTAGTTTTCACCTTGAATCAAGTCTTAAGAACTTCTCTTGCTAGAACATCTGGCGGTCCACCCGTCGATATTCGTTATGCTTTGTGAATATCGACCACGAATAGTAGCCACAAACTCAGATTCTACTAGCCACATACTCAAACTCTATTCCTTAACTTTCCTATGAAATAAACAGCACACATATCTTCCTTTCTACTATCACATTTATGTAAATTTACACTAAAACTAGATAAATTTTCAACTGAAAACTTACCAACATTGATACTGTACTGATTCACAATAAGAAAAGATAACCATATCCATTCATTGTATGACTGCAAAACAGTACCAGGCATCGAAAAAGGAGGGGAAATAATGGCGCAAAGGAAAATTTACGGGCGTGCAATGAAAACGCTACACTGCCGAAACGAAGTCAACAAAAACACAAAGGAGTAAAATTCGCATTTATAACTCCTTAATATACGAATCCCAGTTGAGAGTTACGGGGCAAAGAGGAGGGAAAAGAATGAAAAGCAGCATGTGCTTTTCTTATCCAGAAACGTGGAGCACTAGCGTCAAATGCCTAAGTGGCCATCTCTGCTCTCATTAGTATCCGAGTAATCCTGTTTAGGAGAAGCCAACTTGCGTTTTCTCTCTTTATTTATTTTTCCCCCTTTTCTCTCTTCCACAGCATAGTGATAGAAAAAGCAGCCCAAAATTACGTATATCCCCCCCTCACTAACTCCTATACAACTGAACCTGTACCGTTATTGAATTAGAAGCATGTTTAGCCCGTAGTTTTTTTTTCCTATTCTTTTCCCTTCCCTTTCTCCTGCCTCCTCCCGATTTCTCCCACAAAACTGCGTTGACCAAAAGATTTTTTTTCCCCTCTCCCTTGATTTTTTTTTTTTATATTATTTTTTTATATAGACGGATAGATTTTATTTTGCTCTTGTTCAAGAAAGGCAGTCTTTTCAAATTAGGCTTCCTTATTTGTCCTTAACTCGCGTCTTTTATAACGAGCTATGCCAAAAGCAGTTTTCACTGCAACGTTCTCAAAAGAGAATTTTGTTACTTTTTCACTTTTCTTCACTTTTTTTTATTTCAATTATATTTTTTTTTATCCTTTCTATCGTTCGTTGTTTAACTACTTGTTTCTGCCGCCATGCTGTTTCTTCTTCTTCTTTCCCCTCTTCTTCCATACGCCTTTTTTTTTTCCTTCACGGCTGCCACCTTCTCTAACGAAACTTCGGTTCCTATTTTCTTAAATTCTCGTCTGTGGCTGTCTTTTCGATAAAATGGCTGCTTTGATTCAATTTTTAGCGGCGCGTTGTTTCTTCTTTATTTTACTTATTTATTTTAGAGCGCTAAGTGTTAGCACAGAGATTTTTCAGAGTAAATTAAATAATGTGATTACCCTCTCGCCAGTTTTGTTTCACTTCTACTTTATCGGTTCTCGAAACTCGTGGTTAAAAGGTAGCTAATATTGCCTAATCTTTCACCATCGACTCTTAACTCGTCGACGCGTTGAAGAAACGGGGAAAAGGAGTGACAGATAATTACCATACATGGCTACTTTTCCGTCTGCTGCAGTATTGATAGAATAATGCTACTGTTAATTTGTACTTTTTTTACAGACCGTTCAGAAAAAAATAAAATACGAAATCTCCGACTCCTCATTTCTTCTTTCGTGTTACCACCTGGATCACCCTCGAAATATAAAAAATCAAATAAACATTATCTTAGAGCATTACACAGAACCTTCTTATATTAATTCGCGGGGAAATTGTTTCAAAAACCAAACAATTACGAAATCCTTGGAGCCAAACTGTCTGATTTTTCGTTCAGAGGACCAATCCTATTCACATCAAGTAAGCGTTAAAAAAATGCAATATTTATTATAAATAGAATCTTCCCAATGAAACATGTGATTAATTGTTTAAAATCGTCGTCAGAGTCAACCAGCAAAGGTAGCCGAAACACTGATCCAGCCGCAAAAAATTTATCCAGTTAGGTTATTGTCTGCAAATGGTATCTTAGGCAGAAAGAACATCAAGCAGAAGGCTTTCATCGCTCGTGCTAGGGAGAGTTCTAGACATCCCTATGCTTGGCTAAGATATCCCGCAACACTACGCTGAAAGTAAAATTTTGGGTACCGGAACCAAATCCTGTGACTAGAAATCTCCACCTAAAAATGGTTAGACTAGAACACGAAATGTAAAGTTGTTTATTGAGTCCAATACGACTTTTTATGAGATATTATTTTATGAGTAACGCATTATACAACTAACCCACCGAATTCGCAGGAGCAACACGCGGTATGGTCAAGAAAAGAGAATAAAGCTGGAACTAACCTGTGACTGAACGTTCGCCCCCATGGACGAGTAGGAGTCGCCGCCGTTCATGCTTATGTTGTACATGGAATCCTGAGGCGTCCCCGAACCTGGAGGAGGACTTATTATCTGTCCTTGCGATGAAGGTGCCAGACTGTACGGGGAAGAACCCGCCGCAGACGGAGGTGAGTAGCAGTCATTTATATAATCTAGAAAGAAAAAAAAAATACACACATCAGTCCGTCGCTCAGTGAAGGTGCACAACATGAAGTGGACAATCTGTAACTACTGTGGTAAAGGAATTACATTAAAACTGATCTTACAACCTGACGTCTACCCACAGACCTTACCGAACTGGTTGAGTTATCTTTCCTTGCACGTGTTTAACTGTAATCGCAATATAAAATTGACAATCAAACAAATCTTTATTAACTACTCCTAATAGTTTCACAAACTTAACTGACATACATAACAAGATCCTACTTTGAAACCAGTAATATTTGGGTCGTAATTGCTGTATTTGAATTCTTAAAACAGCTTACCAAACACAGCGACTAACCATCAACATCCGCTTCACAATTTCCTCTCAGAAAAGTTTATTAAGTCAATACGACAGCGAGGCGGCGTAAGCTCCAACACGGGTAAAATTAACTTTCTACTTTTAAATAATGGTACTTACTATTAAATTTTCATAACTTTCTTGTCTTAGAATTTAGGCGGGTGGCGTTCCCACCCCAAGGGCAAATGTCCAGAACCGACCGCTCGCGGGAGGAGACCTGGCATTTGATCTAAGGAACGGAAGCCGGCATCTGACCTGGAGGTTGAATGTCCGGAACCGGCTGGAACTGACCGTGCGCGGGAAGGGAAGGCAGGAGACCTGGTGATAATGTCTTAGAGAGTACTGTGACAAGGTCATGAAAACAAGATACAGTTTAACTCGTATATCACAGCTAGCTATCGAGGTTCCTATGCTTCTTCGTCGAGGTTCCTATGCTTGTGATGAACTGAGGTGGATACGTTCTGTCTTCTTCACTTAAAATATTTATATCAGTATTTGATTATACAGTATTTCCAAGCATTGCTTCTGCTGAACAGATGATACTATCAAAGAGGGACGGAAGAAACTAGTTCTCAAACGTTTTTGCCTTTTTTGTCACATGCAGGGTGCCCTGTTGAATCTAACATCATCGCTATTTTCCTAAAGACTGACATACATAGTCAGCGATCTCAACTCAAATCGCATGGGAGCCGCATGCACGACCTGAAACGCAGATCTGAAAGCAACACTGGGACGTTCTGCACAATTTCAGATGATTGGTATCGATGTAACGCTGATCTAACGACCAGCACAAATACCAGGTTTTACAAGTTACGATAGCTACTCCATCTCCGTGGCAATATGAATCGACCAGCTTATCAAGTTATGATTGACTCGAGGAACGTAAAATTACCAACTGACTGGGAGGGATCACATCACACTACAAAAGTTCTACCAACAGCCGTCAGCTGGCGAAGAGATTTATTGATTGTATCGATGTCCCACCTCAGTGTAGCCATGCGGCCTGACATGTAAGCAACAAAGTCTAATATTTTTTCGTTTAACTAACATCATAAATCTATTAATTCAATAGCCATCGCGCTTACAGACACAATCCATCCATTTCTAAAGTTGTTTATATTTATATTTTAAATTACCATTTCCTGAGATGCGATGCTTAATGTCCCTTCCGTTACCTTCTTTTGTGGGTTTGTCAGAGCGCTACTATGCATGCGTTACATATGCACTTTTGGGCTGTGTGCTTCCAGCTCAATTGGAATGTAATGACTGCTGAAATGTTTGCTAGTGCTTTTGTATTTTGTCAACGAACACTATATTATTGCAATCTACTGTCCAGTGAATCTATGCTATACGGAAATCTATAAGCCCTGTATTAACAGAATTACATAACTGAAATGCACCGGCGGGTCGCATAAAATTGCTTCGCTAGTTTGAGACCAATCGTCATCGATGAAGACTTAAGTGACCCACACGAAGTTCAGTCCTAACGTATTTTGAAGTTTAGTTAAGGAACCACTTAAAGCTTTTAATAGGAACTACAGGTCTGCAGCACTATGATGAAAGAATTCACGAAGCCTGTCATCAGACAAATCTTCATTACAACACAGATTCAGTTACATTGCCCCCTCGACAACATCATTTAATGGAATGACAGCACTGACAATATCTATTTGTTATAAAACGAGACATGCACCAGGAAAAGATTCTTTAAAATCCACTTTAATAACTGGATTATGGCACAGTTGTTATTGTTATGTTGTTGTTGTTGTTATGATTATGTTGATTCCTGCGTCAGGAAACAACAACGTTCCCTCTATGTCCCGCGCATGCGCGATAGAAACGTTTTCAAAACTGTATTATTCAATTTTAAATTGATTTTAATTTCTATATTGTGCTGTTTCCGCCCATGCCAGTTTCGTTATTTCTGAACCACGTCACCTTCTCGATTACAGCTACAGCAAATCTTAATCTCCGAATACTAAAGATTATTCATGAAGTGATTGCTTGACAGCATTTACTGCTTTGATATGTACAATAATTTACTTCACTGTTCTCAAAACCTTCAGAAAATAATTTTTGCGTCATAAAGCAAAATAATTCGCGAAAATATTTTGAAGAACAAAGGTAAATACAAATAAACTCATGACCAGATAAGGCTATGCCATACAAGGTGTAAACTTATTCAATCTACAACTGCTGCGTCAGTCTGAGCGATCGTCTTTCTCGCCTGCCAATATCGACTTCAATCGATGGAAGGACTTCAAGAAAATGCAAAAGACTCCTAACTTTCCGAAAAAATTTAATTTTTAGCAAATCGGGTTCGCTCTTTGAGGGAATTTTTTTTTCTTCTCTCTCGACAGCCAGACTTCCACTCGAGAGAATGAGTAGGCGACGCCAAGAAACCCCTCCCTACAGACGGACTGACTAATGCCCTGTCATTCGTCCATCTCCTTTCCCCGACCCCTGTTAGGCCCCGACAATTTAGCAGATTAAAACTCCAGAAGAAAGGACTGAGATTTCTTTTTTCTCATTAGCGAAACATTTTTATTTATAATGTATTGCAGTTTACTTCCTTTTTTTGGGTACCCTCCTTTCGTTTCTTTGCATGTGTGTTCCTCAGAGAAATTGGCTCAGTTTTTGCAGTAGACTTTTGTCCCTAAGCGGAAAGATTCACTCCTTTCTCATCGGTAACCGATTTAGGAACTTTTTCTTCTTTTGTTTTCCAACTCCGCGTTCCAGTTTTTGAAGATTTGGGAATCGTCTTGCTGTTTTTTTAAACCTCCATGATGGAAATGAAAATGATAGCGATGCTTACTAGAGTGAAATCGAGATGATTCGACCCGTGACAGAGCATGTTCTTTACGAAATAGGAAGAGTCGATAATGGTATTAATCCGGACCGATTGATTTAATAAAAAATTTTACAAGGGGGTGGGGGAACCATCAATCTAAAGAAGAAACAGTCAAAGGTTTCTAGAGCTTCGAGGTCATAGCACTCTAGAGCAAATCAGAATCTACTGCAAATCAGAATTTACTGCAGATATTCGCCGCAAGATTTACAAAACTAACGTTTTGCCAGTACTTGCACTACACGTGCCAAAAAAAGGTTTTCCATCAATACATCACTAAATGGATAGAACGCCGTGAAATGGTTATTTGTCGAAATAAATGATTTAATTATTTTAAACATATATTCATCGCAAAATCCACAAATCATAAACGCACGTTCTTGCACAGTAGGCGTCAAATAGGGTCTTCCGCAAATGCATCATTCTTTTACCACAGCCAAATGTCAATTGTGTGTGTGTCTGATTGTGGCAAAGCCTCGAGGGCTATCTGCCTAAGGGAAGGAATGCCTTCGTGGACTTTTTAAGGGAAACTGGCTCGTATACACGTTATACATGGGGAAAACGCCCATGCAACCAGACCGATCGCGGGATTCGAACCTCGGACCGAACTACCAGTGTTCAGCGACTTTACAGCTCGACATCTGGTGGGCCCAAGTGCCAATTGTAAAATAAATTAATTAAATGCTACGTATCATTGACAGGAACTCTTAGTGGGAAACGAACAGACACATAATTGCATTTAGCAATAAATAAACTGATATATAACTCAATGAGAAAGGAATACTTCGCTTGAAAGGATTACTTTCAGAAATGACACCAACAAAGGGAAATTGATTACATTTCCCTCTGTTGGTTCCCTCTGTTATAAATAAAAGTACGAAATCTACTATGTCTCAAAGCCGTCATCCAAGAATCAAATCCTTAACGAAACAATTCACTGCTTTTCCCAAGGAAAGGTAAATTATGGTAGTTTAATCCTCGTCTGCATTGCTCGGGGAGGGGTTAAAGGGCTGACTGCAAAATGCATTTGTGGTTGTCCCAGATGTTATACAAATATACACCAGTTTTCATCATACTATTACAGGCAAATAACTTTCAAGCGCTTTACTGACAATAACCAAGTTACTTTGGCCTTGTTACCTGAAAAACATTAAAAATTTCTATTCTGCGGAAATTCGTACGTACTTTGACACAGATGCAACACATTCAAGGGGTAGTGGCATTCAGCAGTTACAGTCATAGAAGTTTTCAAATGTTATTTTTTACACTGCGTTAATTCAAATATATAAGTTGCGTTTCAGAAAATTTCAAGGCAATCAAAATTTCAGGGAATACTAAAATCTTTTTTTCACAGTTCTGAAGTTTACAATTAAAGAATACAAAGAGTGTAAAACGAGGAATTTAACACATACAACAATATGTACCGAGCTGCTATTAAATCAGTGCCAATATAAATAAATAACAACAACTTATAAAGCAATTAAACATTCATCTGGGAAAATATTTAAACCCCTTCTTTTTTTTTTTTTTTTTACTGCACTTAAAAGTGCAATAAAGAAAGATACTTACACTAGCATACCCAAAAAACATTACAAAAATTCACTTAAAGTAAAGAAAAGCCTCGTCGCTAGTATAATGCGAAGAGACAAATATTCAACATTTTCTGAAAAATCAATAAAATGTGCTGTTATTTCGATAACGCCTTACCAAATAAAAGGAGTTGAATTTCACAGCCAAATAAGTTGCATATAATACAATAATCAACTATCCACTTTCTTACATTGGAAGTATTTGGGGGGGGG